ATCATCTCTGTACACGGGCTGTCTAAGACATTTGACGTCTTATTCGCCACCAAAAATGAAGGCACCAGTCACTGCAGTGTCAACTTAGCTGGAACATCAAGAGTTTTTTTCGAGACCGAATCGCAACATCGACTGTACAAGATGAACATCTCCAATGACCAGCGAGAAGTTGCTTTCTGCTCTGCACAGCCGGAACCGGACAACTCAGGCCATTGCATTATTTGTACGACGGTTGCTCGCTCCTCTGATCACAACTCATTCTAGCCAACACTATTTCTTTCTCAAAGCAAACGATTAGAGTGGCATTACCGCACGGGACACCCCAGTCCCTCACGGTACCTCCGACTTGCTCAACTCTTCAAGGATGTACCACATTTCCCTCGAAAAACGTTGCAAGATATGCTTTGCGTCCCGTGTCAACTCGGAAAAGCACGTAGGGCACCTGTTAGGCGAGCACAGACAACCATTGTATCTCCGCTCGAACTAGTGCACGCCGATATTGCCGGTCCGGTCACGCCCACAACTGCTGGGAGCACTTACTCTCTCTGCTTTGTTGATTCGTTCACCGCAAAATCTGACGTGTTCTTCTTAAAGAAGAAGTCAGACCTTCCAAAATTTCTCACCGAATACAAGATGAGATCGGAGCGACAGACAGGTTTCCCCCTACGTCAGTTACGTCTAGATGGTGCCGGTGATAATCTGAGCGGCGAAGTGCAAACATTTTGTAAGGAGAACGGGATCGAACTCAAGCCATCACCGCCGTATGGGCATCAGAGCAACGGTACAGCAGAAAGGCTGATACAGGAATTCTGGCAACGCACGAGAGTCCTATTATTTGCATCCAAATTGCTGGATTCTCTTTGGGCGGAGGCAATGCACCACGCCAATTGGCTCCGCAACCGTCTTCCGTCCACTCGAATTCAAGGTGACATACCAATTCTTCTTTGGTATCCGCACACAAGAATACACTTCAACAAGGTCCCTGTCTTTGGACAGCCTGGTTTTGCATTTCGATACCGCTCGGAGACGGTCCCAAACAAGAAGTTCCTCGCACGCTCCATGCATGGACATTTCGTCGGAATGGAAAGTGACGAGACTCTCTTTCGAATCTACGTTCCTGAGACCAAGTCGATCATGTTGACTAGAGTACAGGACTTGCGACCATATCGTCATGAAAAGCTCCCTGGTGTTGCGTCTCTCCTAGACGGACTTGCTCGACAAAGTGAGATTGAGAGCTTGAACAACAGTGACGGACAGGCTGAAGAGGTACTCATGAGAGCCTTTCACGCCTACGCATACACCAATCTAGCCGAACGATCCCACAACCGTGGACACAAGACATTCATCAGGCGCTCATTGCGCGTTGACCCACGCCTTCCACGCTTGTTCGCTGAAGCCATCACCTTCCCAGACTGGAGGCAGGCCATTAATCGCGAGTACCATGCTGTAGTCGATCGCCATACCTGGCGGTATGTGCACCGTACCGCGGACATGCACCCCGTCCCGTTTACGTGGGTGTTCAAGCTGAAACAACTTGACGCTCAAGGCTTAGAGCTGCTGCCCAAAGCACGCTGCTGCATCCGTGGAGATAAGCAGCAACCACACATCGACTTCGACCCATTTAACACGTATGCGCCCGTAGCCAGTCATGAAGCGATAAGACTCCTTCTCGCGTTTGCAGCCGGCAACTGCCTCATTGTCGAAGGAGCTGATGTCGGAAACGCATATTTGTACGGCCACCTCGACGTCCCGATCATCATGTAGCAGCCTACAAACTCCACAGGAAAAGAAGCTTATCCCGGTATGGTATGTCTCCTACTCAAGTCCATTTACGGACTCAAACAGGCCGGGGAAATTTGGGGGTCACTGTTATGCACCACGCTTCTATCTTGGGGCTTCAAACTCTCAAACGTGGATAAAAGGGTGTTCTTACTGCAGTCTGGTGACAAGTTCGTAATTATTGTCGTTGTCGTCGACGATATGATGTTCATTTCCAACTCCAAATCACTGCTACAACGGATAAAGTACAAGCTCTCCGCGACATTCGATGTCAAACTTTTCGGACAGTTGAGCACGTTCATCGGATGGGAAATGACAGAATCCCAAGACGGAATCCATGTCGGTCAACAGCGATATGCACGTGACATTTTGTCAAAATGTGGTCTCGAGCGATGCAATGCAGTATGGACCCCCTTGCCGTACAACGCTGATACTACTACTGCCCGTCACGGAGAACAAATCCTCTCACAATCACAACACTCCGAATACCGAGGAATCATCGGCGAACTTATATACCTGGCAGTTTGCACACGACCCGATCTCTGTTTCACAGTCTCCGTCCTTGCACGCCACGTCCACGCACCGACGTCCCGCCATCAGACACTCTTAAAGCGATTGTTGCGATACATCGCCGGGACACTCGATTTCGGTCTACATTTCCGACGCGGCAACATCACACCGCAATCACTTCAAGCGCATGTCGATGCCGACTGGGGTGGATGTCAAGATACTCGACATTCGACAAGCGGATATGTAATTACTCTCAATGACGGACCAATTTTCTGGAAGAACCAACGACAAACTGTCATTGCTCTGAGTTCTGCCGAATCTGAATATGTTGCGCTGTCGTCTTGTTCAAAACAGGTCACTTGGATCCGTCGCCTATTACAAGAAATCGCCACGAGAACTCCGTACCAGACCAATTCACATATGCCCGCGACACTCATTAAGTCGGACAGCACAGCGGCCATAGCGTTGGCCAGAAACGAGCAGGTGACGGCAAGAAACAAACATATTGACATAAAGATGCATCACGTTAAGGATCTCCTACTCACCGGCCAAGTCGATTTGATTTACGTTGCGTCTTCCGAAAATATTGCCGAGGTGCTGACAAAATCAGTTACATGGAGAGTCCTGCACAAACTTCGTGCTAAAATGAACATGCAGACGTTAGGTGAAATTGTCCAAAACAATTAGGACCAGGAGAGGCAGAAGTCAAGAGCACGTATCAACAGCCCGTATCCTCGGTCATTCCACCGACACCAACCTAGACATGCGCTAGATATCAAACCAATTTCTGTTCCGTACCACGGCCCACAGGCTCATATTTGGGTTTCGTACTAAGACATGAGGCCCACGTGCGTGCGTGCTAGATTGACGCGGTGAAATATAGCAAGGAGGAAATGGTTCATTGTTGTGCTCGAGAATCGGATAGACGGAGACGAGAACACCGAGCACGAGTTAGGTGCCATGGTAATCGTTGTGAGCGCGAGGGAGGCGCAGTGGACGCGACAGGGGCGCCGCATAGTGCTGAATCTGACGGTCAGCTCAAGGAGGAGCTTTGAAGTGTCTACCCGAGGAGGGGAAGCGATTCGTGAGAGAGAGAGTGATTTAACATGCGCGCCAGTGTTTGCCCGAGGAGGGGAATCGATCTGTGAGAGAGACAGTGATTTTAATATGCGCGCCGCCGAGGAGGGGTGCTGGAATCTAAGCGATGTAAGGCACTGTAAGTCCGACGGCGCCGCGCACCCAGGGTGAGCTGGGGAGATCCAACCAAGTAGGGTGGTACAGTACCGAGAAGGGTACATAGACGGACACTAACGATTCAGCACAATAAAGAGGAGGGACAGAGGTCCATCTTTCCTTTCATACATTTTATTGATTTCCACAGAATGCATTATGCTGCAATTATGACAGTCCATATACAATTACAATGCTATTATGTCACACGGTTTGGCAATTGTCTCTTAAATAAAACACATGGGGGTTCACTAATGATTGGTCCCAATTGCTCGGTATGATACAATTCGATATGCGGAACCCCCCGATGATCGGAACTGATCTCTGTCCACCGAAAAGTTCCTCCGAAGTAAACGCGTGTCTTGGATGCAGAAACCAAAAAAAGTGGGTCTCAAAAGTAAATTATAAAACTGGAAATCCAACCACGAGTTTTTGGAAAGCCGTACGCAGCCCTTCTCGATGTTATCATCAACCTGGAAGGTGCTTCAACCCATCCTCGCGTGACTTTTTGTACAGCCGCAACCAGTATGGCCGGTGACGGAGTTTCTTTGTGCGCGTTAGGGGCAGACGAGGAGTCCATATTTGCGTTTGAAAGGGGTTGGCGGGGGGTGTATGAAGCTGTGTGAAGGGCGGGGATGGTTAGAAGAGTGATGTTGGTGTTGTGCGGTTGGAGGCCGAAGTGCTACAGAGGCTGTCAAAACTCACGTAAAACTCACATGCAGCTTGTTTCGGAGGTCCTGTGAGTTTTGTAAAAGGCGTTGTTCGAAATATTTCTGCCAGAAATTTTGATCGAACTCGTTGTAAAAACAGGTGTTTTCCCGACTATGAGGACAACGTTACCGTACTGGGGATTTCATTATCCAGCTGATAGCCCTTCCCTCAACCACAGGTACCAGTTAGGAAACCGGACTCTGGCCATCTGGTTGCTTGCACGTCATGTAATGCTGTCTCTGCACATACAACAAGGGCTTTCGTGAAGCAAGGGTTCGTAATGATGAGGCGGCGTCGAACCCGTCCAGTTCCCATGGCCCTAACAAAACCTTCATTGTAGTCTTGAGGCTATGAAGCAGCTTCTATCGGGCTCAAGATTACGAACAGCAACGTGAGAAATGAATGCAATAACATTGCGTGTTCCCGTTCCAGTATCGAATCTGAGCCAATGAGGACATATCTGTCTCATCAAAAGATACCCTCCCGTCACAGTGTTCCGCCGTGTGTCATTTTTGTTTCCCGTCACAGTATTCCGCCTTGTGGCATTACGCCCATGCGGTGTAACCGGGCGCCTTCCTACAGCAAAACTATAAAATTCACGTACAGTACAGACAGAATACGTGGGAGTTCTGCAACAGGGAATAAAATCACCTCATGACGATCTGCGTATAAAAGTTATGAATGAGATCAGTTGCCCTTAAAAGTTCTGGCGGACCACACCCTCCTTCTCTGCAGCCCTCATTTCTGTAACAATTCTGTAGCAATTGACCATGGGGTTTTCTTTGAGTTGTGTTGTCTTTCTCGGCCTGACACTGTCTCAACTGGTTTCGCTCTCCCAAGGTCAAACTTGGGGGGCTGAAACAGTTTCAGACAGCCTTCGTCCGCAAACAGCATGGGAATCAAACTTTCTCGGCACGAACGTAATTGTCACTGCTGCTGGGCAGTCGGTTCTAAGTGCTATTAGCTCATGCAATGGTATTGTCGGCTCAACTGGATATTGCACTGTGGACATTCAAGGCGATCCTTCTGATTCTTCTATTATCATCAGTCGCTCCCGCACGAAGCTCACTTCTTCTACTGGTGCCGATATTACTTCATCGGGTGCCGTCACGTTTATTGGTATCTACTCAGGAATAGAACAGGTCATCATCGAGAAGCTCTCATTGCGTGGGCACACTGCGTCTGAGGTTTACGGCATTTTTCTAAACAGCGGAGACATTAACAAGGTCATCATTCGCGAAAATACTATTTACGACTTTGATGGTACCGATAATGCCCACGGTATTGCTGTATACGGTAGTGGGTCCACTCCAATTCGAAATGTCATGATAGAAAAGAATGAAGTCTATAACATGCGGACTGGGTCCAGTGAAAGCATAGTTGTTAACGGAAACGTGTATGGGTGGGCAATCAATGACAACTACGTCCACGACGTGAACAACATCGCTATCGACGCAATTGGAGGAGAAGGAACGTTACCGCCTTCAGCGGGTGCCAGTGGTCCGCATCCGGACGACGCTGCCCGAGGTGGTTTTATAGAGTACAATGTCGTCAGAAGAATGAGCACAGCGACGAATAGTGCGTACGGAAATGAAGAATCGTGGGCGGCTGGCATCTACGTGGATGGTGCTCGAGATATTAAAATACAGCTGAATGAGGTCTACGACGCACCATGGGGTTACGAAGTGGGAGCTGAGAACTGCATCATCACAGAAGACATAACGGTGGTCGACAACTTTGCTGAAGGCAGTTTCTACGGCGATTTCCTCGCAGGTGGCTACGCAGCAGGTGGTTTCGAAACAGGAGCGTATCAGTGTAATCCTCTCAGTACTCAAGATGCTGATGAGGGCCACGGAAATGTTGAGCGCATTACTGTTCAGAACAATGAATTCACCACGACGGGGGGGACCGAAGACAATGTTTACGTGCAAAAACGAACGACACTCTCGATCATTGCCATTGACGAACCAGGATTCTCTGCGGTCAACCCAACCGGTACTGGATGTACATCTCCGTGCGATGCGAACTCGTACAGGACCTCGTAAGAAGAGTTCTTCTTTGGTGGACTGAATTTAGGCGTCATTAAGAGTTCTTGGTCCATAGATATTGTCTGGTACACGTGTAGTGCTAATGAGTACTGCATTCGACAAAACTCTGTCTCACACCTAAGGATATAAACAAAAAAACAATGTCTGTAAGAGACTCTTGCATGTTTCTTCAGACGAGGATGAGATGGTAGGCTTTCGAAACAAGAAAAGACACTCCCAGGCAACCGGCACAAGATGCTATTCCGCTTACCTCTTCCATCTGAATGTACTTTGGCTTTCATGTACTCTAAACGTGGTAATAGGTCGGTGTTGCAAACTTCGCGACAGACGTGCTGCATCACCGAAGGTTTTATCACAGCAAAGTGCGTGCAAGCCCTGGGCGTAGGCAAATAAGTTTCGCTTGACACTTACTAGAGGACTTCAGATATTATACTGATAATTGCAAGGTGAGCTCGAGAAAAGTTTCATCCTGACGCCATTGCCAGGGTTCTACAGCCCTATCATGTAAACAGTGTTTACATCTAGAAGCCTGGTCGAGGCGAGGGAGATATTCACTAAACACCTCCCTCTCCTCGGGCAGACAGGGTTCAATTAGAAACACCAGCAGTGTATGAACTCTGGGGACTCAGAGATACAAACCCGATCGCACTTTCCATCGAAATGCACATGAAAACTACATTCGGTACTGCAACTGAAGACCAAGTCCATCCTGGATATCACAAACCGTTGCACCTCATGTCAAAGCAAAAAGGAGCAATGCTACATTGGTCTTGCCTTAATGGCATACCTTCGAGCTGTTAAAACTGCAGCTGCGCCCACGGCTGCTGCTCCGACAACAAGTAGCCCTCGTCCGACAACCATCTCCTGTTTATCGGCGCGCTCTACCGCTTCCGCGTAAGGCGTATTTGAAAAGGATATCATCGAATAGAGGGGCAAAAACGATTGGGGGAACAGCCGATTCGCCAAAACCTCAAGCCGCCTTCTCAGCACTGCAAAAGGCCTGGCCGAACGTGACGACATATCTTCGTAGTGATCAATCGCAAGATCGGCGATAGCATCTGCGTTTTTCTTTCGCGCGCTGGCGTACTCCTCCGCTGCAAGCTTCAACTCGCCCCAGCCATGCTTCTTCACACTATCCACGAACAGCCGGCAGTCTTCAAATGCTGCATTGCATCCCTGACCGTAGAACGGGACGATGGCATGCGCCGCGTCGCCAATGATGATAGCCTTTCCCATGTAGTTGTACGGGTCGCAACGGATAGTGAGCAGGGAAGGGGTGGGGTTGTTCGCAAAGTCTTCAGCCAGCATGGGCATGCACTTGACCGCGTCTGGAAAGTTGCGCATGAAGAAGGCATGAATTTTTGCCGTCGAATCGAGGTCATCGATTTCGTCCTTGTCCATGAACAGCGTACATGTAAAGGAAGTCGCGTCGTTCGGCAGCGCGATGAGCATGAAGCGATGCCTCGGCCAGATGTGAAGCCACTCGGCTGGAAAGGCGTGCTTGGCGGTGTCTGGGTTTAGATTTACCATTGTGAGCTCCTTGTATGCTGCCGAGACATAGCTCTGTGAAAAGTTGAACCGGTCGCGGCGTGCCATGGCTGCGCGCACCTTCGAAAACGACCCATCTGCCCCGACAATGAGTGTGGCTGTAGCCCGAACACTCTCGCCACCATCCCGTGGTTGCAAAGTGACAGCCGGGGCGTCAAGATCCGCATCGACGCAACGGGTTCCGAACACAAGCGTGATACCCTTTGCTTCCTGGCAGGCGTCAAGAAGGAGGTTGTTGAGGCGGTGTCGGGACACGGAAAGCAGGTATTCACCCGGCTGTCCGTACCTCTGTAGCTGTAGAGGAGACGAAGCGGAAGGTGGGTGCACGCAACGCCCGTGCATAGGGACACCGATTGCGGTGACCTTTTCAGAAAGACCAGCCTCAGCGAGAGCAGTGAGGCCGCGCGTGGAGATGGCGAGGTTGATGGAACGGCTGCGCTTCGTCGGTTCACCGGTCGGGTTGCGTGGGTCTGCGCGGTAGTCGTATACGTGAGTGGAGAGACCTGCTTGGGATAGAAGAAGGGCAAGGAGGCTGCCGGCCAGGCCCGCGCCGACTACTATCACATCGGGAGTGGTAGGCTCAGTGGACATCGCGGAGGTGGAGGACTTCGGGTTCTTGGTTTTGGTGCAGCGGTTGACCGCAAGGTAGTGGCGGAAGATGGCGGGGGGGGGGGGGGGGGAGGGAAACTCTGCTTTGCCCCGAGTTACCTCAGGCAGCGGAGAGAAGACAATCAACTCCCCCTCTAGAAGAAAGGCAAAGAAGTGTGAAGCTGGACAAAAAGGAAAGGTTGTGTGTGGAACGATTCAGACATCTAACCTTCCAAGATCTCAATAATAGACGGCAATGGTTGGTTGTCCAGGGAGCAAAGCCTCCTTTTGCCACCCTTTTATTGGTGGAAATCATGCTTTCGATTTTTCTCCATTCTCGCCTTGCGAAAAACACTTCCTCCTTCGAAAATCCCCGAACCGGCGTTCATAGAAAAGGCGTGAGCAAACAATCAGTGGCGGTATTTATATCACATAGGTAGGAAAGTCGATAAGATCCGATTTAAACTGGTACCGTATGTGAGAGATCCGCGTTATGGGACGGCACACGAATGAGGATGATGGCGATATAGTAGAAACGTTGTTGGATAGCGATATTTTTTCGGTTCTGAATGTGCAGGAGCCGCGAGATGTAGTGTCCATGAAATGCTCAATGAGGACAAGGGTGATATGAACTCAGGAGACGATGAGGATATTGAAGATGAGTGGGGCAAAGCGCCAGATATGTGGGACTGGCATATTGTCGTGGAGGATACAGGCGTCGCAAAGAGTGGCACAGGGTACGGGCGGTGAGGAAGCCACATTGGTGACCTCAGCGGCCCCAGCGGAGTGGCAAGCACCTTTCTTGAAGAAATCCTGGGCTTAAGGCTTTGGAATTTTATGTCGTAGGCGGTAGGTTCGTGCGGGGGCACACTAGAAGGAGGGGCTTCATACTGGACCAGGGAGTCCGCAGGGCAGTGGGCTGTGACTGGGACCATGAAGGGCCTTTCTAGACTGCACACGAGGTCTTTGGGCGTACATAAGTTTTGAGCAACTGTATCACAGACGGAGTTGCTGCGGTGCTTGACGCCAAAGTAATCCTTGCAGATAGGATGACGCACAAGCAACCACATTGCCCCTCGAGATTGAAAGGCTCAACTACATTGTTCTTGACCACAAGAGCCTGACGTCGAGATAGCGAGGGAGCATTGCCTCGCGTCACTAATCAGTAGAGCTTTCGTTTTCGGTGACTGAGAGAGAGAGAGAGAGAGGGAGAGGGAGAGGGAGAGAGAGAGAGAGAGAGAGAGAGAGAGAGAAATATAAAATGACAATGACAAGTTATCGAAGATAGCGGATGTATTCGAGTATCTAGAAAGTGCTATGCCTTTCTGTCTCCTACGCACTTGGGACGCAAGTCTATTGACTGTCCATGAGGCTGCTGGTAGAGTACAGAAGAAGCTGCTTGCTATCGTCCATACTCACGTTACCAATAATACGCAGCGGTTCATTAAACAGCAGCGGCGCTTTCCTCACATTCAATGTCCCTGTCGAATCTTCTGAGTTACTGCTCACAGGGTTATTGCCCAGCAGAACAAATTTCGCCCCGTCCTGCTTCAAACCTTTGATAAACCTCCACGACTTTCGGATGCCCCATTTTTGCATCCCCATCCAGCTCACCACCAGATCGACCTTCCTCGGAAGCGCCTGTCCCACCTCCTCCGCTGATGCTTGTACAAAACCGCCAGAGATGTCCCCAAAGGCTCGTTTCAGGTCCTTCATATCTCCGACTGGCTCTTTCGTGTCCACGCAGTAGAATTTCAAACCAGGAAGCTCGATTTCCAGCTGTGACACCACGGGGGGCATCCACCCCATCACCTCCCGACACGGGGCGGCCGCCATTGTCAGGATTTCTTCTGACTTCGCAATTTTATAGACCATCAACGAAAGTTGCGTCGTGTTGTCCATTGAGGTGTTGACAGGACTGTCGTCAATGGATGCAGCATTTGTAATCTTGTTGATATGTTTCGCTTCCGCTACGTTGTCGGATTCTGGACTAGAATGCTCCTGGCGCTTTGAGATCGGCGAGCCTTCTTCGGTTACATTAGTGAGTGAGTTGTCCATTTTTTTTTCTTTTCCATTTCCATTCGCGTCCTGCTCGTCTGCTTCTGAAGATTTCTCCGTCGGGCCTTCATTCTCTCCGCTTGCGGTTTCCCCTTCACCCTCAGGTACGCCGGTGGCCAGCACCCCTTCTTCGCGCGACCCTTCTTCAGCCTCTTCGATGAAATCCTTTTGAGTATCGGTTGATTTGTTCCCGACCTTTCCAAGTTCCGCATCGCCCGCAAACAGCTTCTGTTCTGTTGTGCCACCGGCCTCAGCCGTTGGTTCTGGCTTATCAATGTCTGACGTTTTCGACGGAGAGATTTCGCCCTTCAGTTCTTGGGAAGGAGCTTCTTTCTCTATTTCTTGGAATGGTTCTTTGTTGCTCGGACGCAGCGAACTCTCTCCATGAGAAGTGCCGTCCTTGTTGTAATTTTCTTGCTTGACTACATTTCTAAAACTGTCGCTCTCATGTTTACCTTCGGAGGGAGTTGCTTCTTCTGTTTTTGGTGATTCGCCCATTTTATTATTTCCAAACTGACTAGAGTTTGAAGGAGCATGACCCTCCCATCTCGAGATTGGGCTCTCGAGTGTTTGGGAATTCCTCCCAGAAGTACTACGCTTTGGTTCCATCTCAGATGATATCCTCGTTTTTTTCGTTTCCTGATATTCCAAATGCATCGAAGCTTCAATTGAAGCGCTGTCGTTCTTTTCCTGCCTTGGTACTAAATGATCAGGCATTGACAAGTCCAGAGCGCTCACCACAGATAGTTTGCCTTTATCATCGACGGCGGAAATTTGGCCAGATCCTTCATTAGACTGAGACCGTAGTGCCTCAAGGTCATTTGAGTCAGCACCCTTCTCTTCTATCTTGGATGCGTGCACCATATCCTCCCTTTGAAGAAAATCAGGACTACTTTGTTGTCGAACACTTCCGTGTTTTGGGATGCCGGGTCCAACAGTCTGGTTTTCGTTGTCCAACTTCATTTCGTTCTTTTCGGAGCCGCCAGCTTCAACGGCCTGGTTTCCGATCTCCAGGTTAATACTCTGTTGTGCTTCGATGACCGGATTGCTGGATTGGTTTCTGTTCTCGATAGTGGCCCTTTCTGTTCCTGCCACAACCGGCTGGCTAGTATGGCTGCTGAGGTCCATCTTGACATGTGCATTTCCTGTGATGACAGACTGGCTGGTTTGGTTTTCGTTCTCCAACTTAATGTTCTGTTGCGCTATCAAGGCAGGTTGGATGGTCCGATTTTCTTTGTCCGTCATGGCTTGGTTCCATCTGGCGCCGTCAATAGGGACGGTATCATTTTTACTTTGCACCTCTAGAACTTTTGTGCCAATTCCGTTAGGTGTCTTTGTCTTGTTTACTTTTGATGTTGAAGGACCTTCACCTTCAGGCGAGGTTTTGGAACGATGAAGTTCCTGGGCTGCTGGCCAACCATTACGCGTTCTGTTCTGGAGCATTGCAACATATGCAGACTCAATTGTGACACCCTTCTTCTCTGGGGTATTCCGAATAGAATTCACCCTTTTGAAGAGCTGCATGGCTGTGAAAGCTATCTTCTGCTTTGTTTCAGAAATGAGACCTCTTAGGCGATACTTGCTCGATAGATAAGAATCGTTAGAAGTTTTCACTTCCACATTGAGCGTGCGCACAACTGTGCCCGGGATTGCTGGATTGATAGCATATGGAAAGCCATGGTCTGTGCCTTCCGATGAAGGAAGGACTGTTGCTCGAGCGTTTTGCTGTATAGCAAAGAATATCAAGACTGAAACCAAGAACGCAAGACGTCCTGCGATATTAAAGACTTCCATCAAGTTTGAATATCGCATACTTCAAAAGGACTTGCTGATAGTCCAAGTGACATGGACGCAATGAAACAGGCAGCGGTCTCCTTTCGAGCGACGAGCGCGGTGTCTGCTCGTGAGAATACCAACGAGCTTGAGACCAACTGAGTCAAAATTCCCCCTGCCGGAAAGTGGCTGCCCGACTTATCTCTAATGGAACTGCCTTCAGAAGGATATCATCGACGGGCAAGGCCGTAATGCAACGAAAACTAGCAATATTCTTATGGACATGACTGGGAATGAAATTAATTCGAAGCGTTAGGTTTGCAACGTCGAAGTGAAATAGGTTCTTAGACTACAAACGAATTAGGAGTGATTTCGATGAAGATGACCTTTCTCAAATGCGTGACGATCTCTTGGACGCACAGTCCTTAAAATGGTCAATCGCCTGTTCTCGAAAAAGAAATCCAATTTCTCTATCACAATTGGCCTAATCATGGTATCGTCATCTTCACTTCCGTTCAAGACTCGTTCAATGGCTTTTTGCCCTGACAATACAGCCTTGAAAAGCTAAGTGAGAATGATGTACAAGTGCAAGTGCAAATGCTTTTACGTGGTTGCATGTTTAAATAGTGATAAGATAGGGCAGACTGCATCCTCGAATTCTTGAGCCTCCGGCAACAGCTCGCGAGCAGAGTCTAGCCTACGACCCCAAGCCACTTTAAAAACTCCGGTTAGTCCTATGTTACCTCTTCAGCGAGAGAGCAGTTTACTACGCCAGAACGGTGCGCGCTTGAGCATTTCACCTGAGCGGCGGACGCGCTCCCCCAGCTGCACCCCTGTGCCCGCATAATTCTTAACAAAAGACGTATAACTCCTGCCGCGCTTTTCTCGCACGGCGAGCTGCGGGAGGCTGTTCTCGTCCTGCCGCTTGCCACCGTTGGTGTACTGCGCGAGCGACGACTCTGTTTTCCAGAACGAGTTCTGCCGCTGCCTGTGCCCCGACTCGCGCGACGTGCTGACGTTCATGCTCTTGCTCGCAAGCAAGTCGGGCTTCTCACCCTGAATGCGGGTGACCGGGGTGCTAGAAAACGCGAGTAAGCCGAACAAGTTTTCGTTGCAGTGACCGCTGGTGGCGGCCTGGCGCACCTCCTCAATCGAGCGACAGAGCCCCCTCGGAGAGAGTGGCGTTGCGGCGGTGGGGCGCAGCGAGGGCGGGCGCGTGACCGGGAGTGGCTGCATCTGGTTTTCCGGGGTATCGATGAGGTGGAGATTCTGGTGGATGCTGTCGTCGTTGCTAGCTAGGCTGGAGATGGAAAACCGGGACGAAGAGCGTTGCGGCTGGCGCAGGGACGAGGGGCGGGCGTTGTAGGTGCCTTCTGAATAGACACGGTTGAAAGTTTGCTGATTGGTGAGAAGGAGAGGCTTGTGCTCGAGGATGCGCTCGGGGCGCGAGGCGATGGAGCGCTCCTGCGGGGGCCGGAGCTGGAAGATATCGCCGTCATATCGGTAGCCGTTGTGGACAAAGTAGTTGAGAGCTCTTGCAGGGTCTTCTTCTTCTTCTTCTTCGTCGTCGTCGTCGTCGTCGTCGTCGTCGCCTTCCTCGTCGAAAGAATCGCCTTCAGGGACGTCGTCAATGAAGGCAGCGAGCTTGTCGGCGACGGCAAAATCGGAAGGGTGGATGGGGTTAGTTTGGGCGGGGGGCTGGGTGGTGTGGTTATCCCAGAGGGCGGGGGGAGGGAGGGAGGTGGGAACGACGTCGTTGAGGAAGGGGAGATGGGGGGGACTGTGGAAGGCGTCGTCGTCTTCGTACTCGTCGCGGACGCGGGAAGGGGAGATGTTTGACATGGCGAAGGTGAGATGAGGGAAGTGTGTGAAGCGGAAGGGGAAATGGTCCGAAGGTGAGCGGACAGTTAGTGTCGGACTCTGGGACGAGCCGGCTCACGAGGGCGGAGGGTTTTGTTGAGGAGACGGGCGCGATGGGTCGGTTGCAACGGGCCGATGGGGGGTGGAAGGATGACGTAGGATGGTTAGGTAGCACGTAGTGGGTGGAGCTCTCAGCGAGGCGAACGGAATGGAAGTGGGCGGGAGGGAGGACGGTGTCGATGGGACATGTGGTGGGGGGTGGGGGGTTTAGGGGGATTTGGAAAGGAGGGAAACGGGTCACAAAGGGAACATGGGGATGGATATGAGCGTAACGGGAGGAAGAAGTGTCGGGGGATCGGCAAGCATGGAGTACGAGGGGATTGGCGGAGAAAGGCTTCCGTTACACGTGCCGGAGACATCGGCTCGAGAGTGGTTCAAAAAACATTTGATAAACAGGGGCCACTGCGCCAGAGCGGGCACGTGGCTGGCCCGGTCCCACCTGACGTCTGACGTCAGGTATTTGGAAAACCCGCCATCTCAAATTTCCGTGCAGAACGATTCCCCTTCCTACCTCTCCCCGCCCACGACCCCCACGACCGTTCGCCAGCCACACTCCGGATTACCCTAACCCCTCGCCTTGCTCCAACAATCTCTCAGCAAGTGCCGCCATCCCTCACCGCACCTCCCTCTCTTCCCGAGCATACTTATTAACTTTCCGCCCCCACCCCCCCTCTCCTTTCTCCAATTTCTGCACCACCCTCAACTTGGCGCTCCGACTCCGCACATTCCGCCTCGCCTCCTCCTCCCCCGCCATCACCGGTTTCCGATTCACAATCCCCACGCCGCCCTCCTCCCACGCCGCCATCTCCCTGAACCATCTCTTCGCGATCCGGTCCTCCAACGAATGGAAGCACACAACCCCCATTCTCCCGCCGGCGCCCAGCAACCGCACTCCCCGGGGCAGCACCTGCCCCAACGCGTCGAGTTCCCCGTTCACGGCAATCCTCAGCGCCTGGAAGCACAGCGTCGCCGGGTGCATGCCCTTCTTCCGCCATCCCTTCACCTTTGTGATCACCTCCGCTAGCTCCCCCGTCGTCTCAATCTCCTTCCTTTCCCGCGCCGCCACCACCGCGCCCGCGATGCGCCGTGCCTGCCGCTCCTCTCCGTACTCGCGGAACACCCATTCCAGCCGCTCCTCCGACATCCCGTTCACCAAGTCGCGCGCGCTCACGGCGCCGTCCGCCCCGCCGGACATGCGCATGTCCAGCGGCCCGTCCCGCGTGAACGAGAAGCCTCGCGAGTCCTCATTCAGCTGCATCGACGACACCCCTACGTCCAGCAGCATCCCATCCACGCCTCCGTCCCCCACGCCCACAGACTTGAGCAGCGACGGCATGTCCCGGAAGTCCCCGTGCAGCAGCGTGACGTTGTCGTGGGCGGACAGACGCGCTCTGCTGATGGCCAGCGCCGTCGCGTCCTTGTCGATGCCTATGTAGCGCCCGATCTCGCAGCGCGAGAGTAGAGCCAGCGCGTGCCCGCCCGCCCCGACCGTCCCGTCCACGAACGTGTCGAGCCGCCGCCCGCAGAAGTGCGACACGATTTCCTCGACTAGCACCGGCTCGTGCGGTTGGCTCGCGGGGAGCGTCGCCGCCTTCTCCAGCGTGGCGGAACATATGGGGCGCGCTCGGCGGGCCTGCAGGGAGCAGGGGAGGTGTCTGCAGGGGTGCAGAGTGCGGTAGAGGGATTGGCTTGGGATGAAGGAAGTGGCGGACATGGCGTGTAGCGATGATGTGGCCATGGAAAAAGAATTGCTCGCGGGCTTCCTCGTAGTGCGTTCGCGGTCAGCCCTTTCTGCGGTTCGAGACATGCACTTCTAGCACTTCTGTTGTGAGGTTGTTGAGCAGGCAGTGGTTTGAGTGGAGAAACGTCGCAGCAAGTCTCTCCGACGCGACGCGAAGCAATTGGGCAATGCACGGCGAAGCATGGCGAGGGGGGCGAGGGGGGCGATTTTGGGCTTGTTTTGATCCCTGGAATTCGTTTAGATCTCGAGGCGAAACTTGACAAAAATTGGGCGAATTATTTTCTCTTAGACGGTTTTTATTGGTGGAAATAGAAAAATTGCGAACAGGGACATATTCCGCCAGACCCAGATATTCCGAGGTGCGCTCCACCAACCAGTTTGCATCATCACGAAACATGCAGACAAGTCTGAGAGCCTCCATACTAGCTGCATACTGTACCCCTGGGTCTCCGGACGGGCTCAATCTCCGCAGCTACTTCGAAACCTATTCCACTTCTTTGCGCTCATCTACCACGGGCAAGCAAAAGAAAAGTCAACAAAACAGGCTTACTCTTAACAAACCGTCATGTCGTCGGCATTTGTTTTCTTGAGCCCGTGTTCCGTCCTTGGAGCGGCGCGTCCTTCCGCCCTCTCCATATCGAACCCGGCCCTCAAGTCCACCTCCTTCGTCCCTCGCTTCTCGAAACGCGCCAAAGTCGCAGCCGCGTCCAATCGGGGAGCCGCCCATGTGTACAAGACAGAAATGGCGTTGCAAAACGCCGATCCCAACGACAAGATCCTGGAGGGTCCGTTCCAAGGCAAGTTTGGCGACTGGTATCTGCGCCAGTCCGACGCGAACGGCGTGCTGGGCTACCGTCTAGCCGTGGCCGCTATGGCGGTATGCATGTCTGCGTCGGTGGGCCTCGCCGTCACGAAGGGCACTGAAATCCCTTCCTCAGTCTACGACGCGCTCTATTTCACGAATCTCGTCTCGTTTGGTGTGGCCCTGCAGACCATTCACATCTACATGAAGCCGCTGCACAACGCCCTGAAGGTGCTTTGGGGCCTGGCCTTGGCGGCCTCCATCGGCCTCGCCGTGTCGCCGCTGCTGGGAGGGGATGGGCTGGTCATGGCGGTTTATGAGCACCCGGCGCTCTTGCTGGCAGTCGGGTGGCAGTTCGTCGCGCTGACGGGGCTCTTTATTAAGGAGGCCGCGTGCTTTGGGAGAGTTGAGGCTATCTCGCTCATCTTTCTGGTCCCGGCACTTGCCGGTGGGCATTTCTTGGGATTCTTACCGGGAAATGTGGAGAGCTCTGGCGCCGTCGCGTTCGCCGCGTTCTTCCTGCTCTTTAGCGCTAGGAAGTTCATGCAGCCTGCTACGGATGATATCGGGGACATGTCCGTGTTTGAGTATCTTGCGAAAGGGGGATCTTTGTAGATGTGCTTGTAAGGAGCTGGACGAGACCGACGGGATAATTCTTATGATGAAAAGACGACGCTTTGGGGGCGGGGTTGTGAAAGCTTGACGTTGTCATGCCGTGGGCGAGCGAAGTTTGCATATGCGTTAGATTCTGAGTGAGCGTGCGTGGGTATCGGCAAGGTCTGGCCCTCAAGGTGTGGAGACTCTCTTGCATGATGTGAATACTGTATGTGTGACCTTTGTACATGGTTGGGGTCCATGTGTAGTTATGCAATTAGCCCGCTACCTTTCTATCATGTTTGATGGCGATGGGTATTTGTATCGACAGTAGTGTTGAAGTGTGAAAGCTGGGCAGGATATCGATATTTGACTACAACAAGGGTTAAGACTGTCCGACGCTTTGTGCCCGGTGACACGGGGGATGCTCTGCGATGAAAAAACTTTTTGTTTTCAAGGGATTGCACCGTGAAACGTACGTGGTCAGATTTAGCGACTTGTCAAGGGACATGGGATACTGTACGACAAAAAGGGATATGAGGAGTGAAGATGGCATTGCTTGGACTTTGCACACAAGGTGTTGAAAGGCAAAAGGAGATGTTCTGTGACCAAAACTTTTGACCAAGGTTTTTACCAGGAGGTTTTACGAGTTGTGCGTCCAAGCTGTCACAGAGTGCATCGGCGCGACAAGTGATAATTTGCTCAGGCGGACGCTTCTTCCTTCTTGGAAGCTTGCATGGTGGAGAGAAACGCGTTGTAGCCGACTTGGATGGTGTTAATGTACAGGATACGCTGCGACGAGGGGATGAAACGGAAGTTGATGATATGAGCAACGGGCCAACTGTGTCAAACGGGCAAGGGAATTGCGCGGCAGGGGTACGAACAAATGCGCCGAATAAAAAAAAAGGTCAGTCGTTGTAATGGCGGCGCGATGCCATCGCCCGATGTGTGCGCAGACGCGAAAACGTACACAGTCCAGTTGACCTTCATGGTGGGCCAGAGCTTCTCTTTGACCTCGGTAGTGATCTCGTTGGGCTTTCCGTCCATGAGCTTCATGGAGCCGAAGAAGACGGAGGTGAAGATGGGGGCCCAGAAGATCTGATCGATGGCGGTCTTCGATGCGACGGCGGCGGCCGAGGTCGGGGCGGCGGTCATGATGGTGCGATCAAGGAAGCCGTACCAGTAGTGGCCGATGGGGCCGTGCAGGGCGACGCCGAACGCGCCCATCTTGGCCGTGCGCCTGGCGTCCCACGCCTTGCCTTTGGAGATTTCCGGCCCTTGCGCGACCAGATCGCCCAGCACGAAGCCGGTCAGGGACTGCGGGGCGGAATGGGGCGCGGGGGGAGGTCAGACTGGAGTTGGGTTGCGTGGCGCAGCGGGGAGGTGGGGGCGGAGGTGCGGCTTACCGTCATGGTCTTCGTTTGCAGCGGCTTGGCCACGAGGGCCGCGTTGTATCTTGCCCAGATTCCGGACATTTTGGAAGTGTGGGGGAGTGGGGTGAAGGTGAAAGTTGTGGAGGGGTGGAGAGAGAAGAGGGGTGCGGAAGAAGTGCCGGGCTGGAGTGCAAGTGACTGGTGATTGGGGTTAAAGAGGAGCAGAGAGGATGTGTGTATAGGGGGTGATTCTTTGAGGGTATGATCTGGGCAGGATCAGGAAATGTGTGCATTGGAGAACGGCTTTGAGATGGTGCCTGTTGACGTCGCTACGGGTAGGGGTCACGCGTTGTAGACCGTCCGTTGTCCACCGGTCGATCGCACAGTCAGGCAAGTGGGCCTGATCCCGATCGCATTGACGAGTGGATAGCGTTGCTCCCTTCTTGTCCAATCGTTACCCTGCACTTGCCCGCTTCTCACTGCACTGTCCTTCTCGTATTTTTCAATATTTTACAAAAAAATGCTACGATTTTCCCACAAAAACTCCCTCTGACAACAAAAACTGACTCTATACAGAAAGCCTTCAAGGGGAGGCTAAAACGACCAAGCCTATAGCATGCAAAACTCAAGAACAAACAAAAAAAAATGCCGATGCCCGTTTTAACTTCCTCTATATTATCTCAACGTCGAAGCCTTATCAAAAAGCGAGTTGACCACGTTATCCATGTTAATCAGCGTGTCCAAACTACTCTGATATGTCTTCGACATCGGTAGATCATCATACACAATTAAGCACCCCTCCCCTTGATCCAAAATCCCGTTCAACTTTTTGTCCAAGATCATTTGCGACAGCTTAGACTCCACATCTGCCAACGCCAAGTTGATCAGCTTCGCTACATGCTCAATCTCCACTCTCGAGAACGGCTCGATCAGACGCAACAGATTCTGCTCTTTCAGCGTGTCGTACAACGAGCTCAGATGAGCATGCACAATCGGATCGTCCGACAGCTCCGCCTTGTAATTGTTCAACGTCTTTTCAAACGATTCCAGGCTTCTTTCCGAGTGCGCTTTTGCCACCGCTACCATCGCGTCTACTTCGCGCCCAGAAAACTTCAGTGCCACGCTCCCGTTCACAATCCCCGGCACATCCGAAGCACTCCCCGTCATAATCTTGCACAGGAGCATGTACTTCAAATTACTCACAGCCCGGCTGTCTTCAAGACTCATAAACCCTTCAAACCCTTCGTAAAAGTACGAGTAGGCCGTCTTGTAGTCCTTCTCTTCCGCGGCGATAATCCCGGCCTGCATATCAATTTCCGCCTGTAGAATCAGCGGCACGTAAATTGCATTCGCAGTTGTCCGCGCAGAAGTTAGAGCCGCGCGCGCTTTTGGAATATTGCGCAACGCGTGGTGAATGCGCGACTCCACAAGCTGAATCTCCAGCAAGTGCGCCTTGTCATCCAGCCGTTTCACCTCTCGCAGCAGATCCGTGATCATCTTCAGCGCCTCCGCGTAGCGTGAATGCGACAGATATAATGCCGCCAATCGACCCTCCACTCGTTGACGTAGGAACGTTCGCTTCTCATCCCTGCACCATTGGATTGTCTCCTTACACAACTTGACCTGCAACTCCTCTGCGTTCTCCGCCTTCGATGCAGAGTCCAGCAGGCCGCGCACGATCTTTGCCGTCTTCGCCTTTGGGATGGTCGTGAAAAACGGACGCAGCGTTTGGAGGAGATCCGACACCTTTTCAGGGATGCCCGTCCGGACGAGGAGAGCTGCAAGTTTCAAGATTGCCGTCTCTTTCACCTTACTAGTGTCCTCAATAGCAGGTACTATGGGATCATAGGGAGGCTCCTCGGCATCGATGATTGCGCGGTAAATGGCTTCGGCCTCGTTTGGATCGGTCTTCGCTTCAGCTTCGTGAAGCTTTTGGGTGAGAGGACCCTCAGGCTCTTCTTTCTTGGGAGTGTTGCCGGTCTCCATAGTCACATCAGCGTCTTGTGCTACCGCAGCAGGCATGCTGATAATGTGGACGGATCCGCCAACGAGGCGGCTCGAGTGAATGCGATCGACGAGTTGCTGAAAGACGTTCCTTTCAAGATCTTGCTCGAACGAGCAATTATTATGAACAGAATCCTCGCTGCGACTCCTAAATTTGTTCCTGTATGTCCAGGGGTGCGGCGCTTGACGGACTCCTTCTCTTTCGTCTGAATAAGACTCTCTCTCGCGCGGGACAGAATCGAGGAGCGGTATTGCTGGAGGGGCGCGACATGTCAAGGAGCCACCCCGAATGGCAGGCACAGGAATGCTTTTTAGTTAATTTTTTAGAAGGTCGGAGTGTGTCAATATGCCTTCCAACCGGCCGATTGATTTCCGCTCTCTGATTGATCTCATTGGTCGATGTTTACGACAGGTGGACCAACACCTTCCGGCCCGGCTTCCGGCTACAGTGCCAACAATGCGACGTGTCTAAGATGTCCAACAGGCTCTATTGGAATGTTTTGATTACGGATCCGAAGTGGAGTACTATGTGCATGTTTTGCAATCCCCGACGGGAATAGTGAAGGCTGCGTGATCTCGTTAGCAGCTTGCATCAATTCACCTCGCTTGCGTGGTTGACAACAGAGCGTGAAACCACCAGCAGTTCTTTGCGACGCGTCTGTTGCATACCGTACAGACCGTGGATGAGCCTTCTAGCTGGCTCCTGCGAGCACAGCATTGGAATTATGGGGCGCTTCGATGACGCTAGTGGGCCCGATGGAATGGCGGAGCGGTGGGGCTCCTCGCGTTGTCCAAAGGACTGTCTCCGAAATAGACACATTTAAGGCGTGGCAGCTTTTTCTGCGAGCCTGTGCTACCGCTGTGGGCTCCTGACCGATACCATCCCGAATACAGTGCTACCGGTACCCGTCTTGCGATTTTTCTGTGTTAGCCTCGGTGGTGTTTTCCCTTGTCATGACTGACTCACCTCCTTCAGATACCTGCTCCCATAACGGGGTTGACTCGGAGCTTCTTTTCAACTACTACGACATCCGGAATGGAAAGGTCACCGCTTTACCCCGTGCCAAAAGCGACAGAGTTGAAATTAAATCCCTTTCAGACTTGGGCTTCGACATCTTCACGTACGCCAACTTACCAACTCATCACAAGAACGTGATGGAGGACTCTGCCGGCATCTGGACGCAGTTCTTCCTCAGCAACAATATCACTTTGCGCGGACCATACGACTGCGCAAACATGTTGAAGTCAAACACCGCAAGTGATCCTATTGTGATCACTGCAGATGTGCCCTTCATGTACTACAACACCGAAAAGGAGCTCACCCCGAGGGGCGAGCGGAAAGGTCTGATCAATAACACGCCGATCACTTTGGTGCATCTCACTCAGGACAAGAGGAGGACCAGGCTTCACAAAAACTTGTTCTACGCCATCGGCTCCGAGTTTGATATGTTCAATGCTGATGTGTCGATATGCTGCAAGGCCTGTTCTCAAGTTCACGACATCAGAAACACGCCGTGTCGTCTGGTGACCCGTTTTATGACGACAGACGGCGCATTGCGCGAACGAGTCAAGCGGGCGACTGGATATGGCGAACGAATTCTACATATTTCGGACAAGTGGGAGAGCTCATTGCACTCTGTAAACCACAGCGACAACGCGTACCTCTGCTCGGAGTGTGAGGAGAGAGCTGTCGAGCGAGGCGACATGTGGTATGAGATGAGCGGTTCATGCTCAACAGAAGGATGCGCGAATGCGGTAAGGCAGAATGAAATGACGACCCATGATGGCAGTTTGCGTTTGCTCTTCTTCATTAGCGAGTGGGAACGCAACAACCTTCCAGACGATGGCATTGCCAAGGGCATTAAAGACGGACGCATTCAGGTGATCAAAGGAGTGGAAGCAGGACTGAGCGAAAATGGTTGCCGATGGAGCGAGGAGATCGAAAGAGTGGCGAAAAAGAGTTGTAGCACGGATGAGATAGTCACGATGAAGAGAATTGTAATGCAGTGCCCGGGATTGTCCCAAGATGAACTGCTAGCGTTGGCGATGCAGAACAGCCGCCTCGGTGGGTGGCTGGAGGGCAGAAAGGGGGTAATTCAGCGCAAAAGCGAGGGGTTTATAAAATGCGACAAGCACTTCGAGGTCGGGCCGTGGATCGAAGGCAGGATCGCCTACGACCGTCGCGGGGTGGCCTGGGATGTGGTGCAAGAGAAGCCCGTCTTCGTGACTACGCGGAACAAGATTTCACACATCGCAGACACTGGCGGAGAGGAGGTGGCAGGTTCGGATGCGTTGGGTGAGTTTATCGCGTGAGCATTGTGTGGGTGCAAACGTGGGGAAGAGGCAAGTTTTGGTGAGAGAGATTGCTCTCACCACGGAGAGCGCATTGTGTATCGGAGGCGCGGCACATCCACGACAGGGTTGTTTTCAAACTATCGGTGTGCAGGTAGGGACTAAAAGCGGGGTAGCTCGTGCTCTCCCCTGCAGACTTGTGTGCACAAGTCGCTCCCACTGCGGCAGTGCAGCGGGTGACGGGGGCGGCTTTGGAACAAGGTGCAGCGTAGGCTGCGTCGAGAACTGAAAGGTTTGCACTCGTTGAAGCTGACTTTAAGGTGAGTTTGTTTTTCTCCCGTCGCGTGTTTAGGCTGGGTACCGAGATGCCGTAAAGAAGACACCGTTGCTCGATTGCAGAGCTTGGAATCATGATGGTACTTACAGATGCATTGTACAGGTAGGGGTCCGGTTGTCGCCGGCAGACGGTGAGTGGGGGAAAGAGGATGTGGCTGGCCGCTGTCCTGTCGACGCCAGTTGCGGCTTGAGGCCAAGTCGCCAGCCTCCCTTCACCGGCACCGAGGCACGAGTGTGCTCGTAGACACATGCCACTTCCATTGCGCGCTCTTTTGTCGAAGCCAGCTGCGGCCCGCAACGATTTGTCCAGCTCCACTTTGCTGACACCAAAGCACGAGCACGCGCAGCGCGCAGCCAGATGTCACTTGCATCCCTTTTCCGCGACTTGCCCTTAACACGTGTCCAGCGCAGGGGCCAAGTGGACGGCTGTCGCGGCCTCCATTCGCTGCCTCCGCCGGTCAATCCCCATACAGTACTCGCCCGCCGCACTCGGCACCGGCCCGTGTGCGTCCACAGTGTGGACTCCACACGCCCAAGAGGCCCTCCTCACAATCTAGTCCCCCGCTAGAATGGTGCAGACCGCTGCCCTTCATACGGGTGTGAGCCCCCCTCGCTGCACGTGTAGCTTATCTCATCTCCTCTCACGCCCGTATACGATTGCGTATGCCCGGCACTGTACCAGAGCCCTACAACGCCCTCCCACCACACCCCCACCACACTGACATCTTTGACCTCTTACAACCACGCATCGCGCTCAATCCGCACCCGGCCCCTTCCGTCCACCTGCACTGCCATGTCGAGCTACCTGCCCTCCTTCCGGCGCGCGCCTTCCGCGCCTGTAGACGACGCCCCGCTGAGCTCGCTCCCTGCCTGCGAGCTCACGCCTCTGACGCGTCTGGAGGCGGCTCTGCACGCGGACATCTTCGCGCCCACGTCCACGCTCCTCCACCCGGGCGACCCGTGGCGCGCCCTCGCGCCGCCCAACCGCCGCGCCCTCGCGCTGCGCTTCCTGCGCTTCCACCTGCTGCAGGAGGCCGCCGCGCTGGAGCACGCGCGCCGCGTCGCCGCGTGGCGCGCCGCCGACCGCCCGTGGGAGCGCCCGCTCAAGGCCATGGCCGGCCCCGCCGCAGGCCTGCCCGTGCTCCCGCTGCACGCCCCCGGCAGAAACGGAGACGTCCTCGTGTACTCCGCGGCGCGCGCGTACATCAGGGCACAGGTCAACCACGCCGCCCAGGAGGAGGCCGTGAAGACCTTTTTTGAATCCACGTTTTATGCGCAGGGCGCGCAAACAGGCCTGTCGGCCGTCGTCGTGCTTGACTTTCATGGCATGAGTATGAGCAATGTTGACTTGGTTGGGACGAAGAATGGCATTAGAATCTTTGCCGACTTTTATCCGGACGTTTTTAGCAAGGTCTTGGTTGTCAACTATGCTAGATGGCTGCACGGAAGTGAGTTGTCCTATCCCTGCATCGAACTAACCGCCTTTTGAAGGTAACATTCTGTGGACGTGCCGGTACTAACTTGAGTTTTTGTTTGCATCCGTGTGCGCGTCGCAGCCTGGAAGTGCATCGCGCAGCTGTTGGACGCGAGGACAGTGCGAAAGGTCATGTTTTTGAGTGACACCAACCAGATGCGAGAGGAGCTATCGAAGTCCTTTGCGAAGGCTGATATTCCCCGCTGGCTCGGCGGTGACGCCGGTGACGGCGCCTTGCAGTTATATTGCGGCGCCACAATCGACCCCGACGAAGTTGCAAAAACAATGCAGGCCAAAAGTTGATGCTACACACAGAACGCAATCGCACGGACTGTTGTGCCCTGGTGCCAGAGCTTGGAACGAAATTATATCCAGGACGATGCACGGTACTTGCCGTGGGCATAGCTTTCGTTTTGCACGGGCTTGTTCAGCAATGAGATGGCGACACGCCCGGCACGGCGAATGAGATGTATTGCATTCAAGAACGAAGTGCACATTACAACAGGCTATTTAAAAGTGTGTGCGTATACCCATAGGGCACACACACAAGCGCTGTCAACGTTGATCTCACCGGCTCAAGTGGGAAGAGAGATGAGGATGAGACATCACCATTGGGTTCCAAGGGGAAGGGGGATTGTACAGGCAGAGGCCTTCTTCCGAGAAGTGACAAGTCGGGGTTGTTTTAAGCGCGTAAAAGTGATAAAGAATGAAGGGTTAGCTACCCCGAATGCATTACGAGTGGTAGGATTTTTGATGGAGATCGAAGCGCATCTGTCTGCTGTGGTTATTGGTTTGAAGGCATGGTTTTGCGATAACTTGTAGTATGGACATGGGCCCTGGAGCATATGTTCCTACCCAGGGACATGGGAAAGAGATAAAGAGATGATGAGGGGCGAGAAAGTGGATTCTAATTTCTACGTAGGCAAGTAGTCTCTCCGAAGGGTTTATTCCGCTGGAATTGCAAGTCAAACAGCGGAATTGCACGGGCGCTACTTGTACAGGTCGTTCGGACGGCATGAAGATTGGAATCCTTTCTGAGCAACTAGGCGAGGCACCAATCAATTTGCAGAAGGGTAAGATCCAGCATGAGGGCAACAGTGCCATGGAGTGTACGGACCAATGAATGGGCGATTTAGCTGTAATTTATTTTTATCAGGGGGCCGGACATATTGGCTCGACATTTTTACATTTTATTTTATTGGATAGATGGCCGGACTGGCCACTCATACATGACGGAAAGCATGAAAATGCCATGAAAATGCCAGTGATTAGTCGTGCTAGAGTCAGATTTGAGATGTGATGCCCATGTGTTTCTACGGGCCACCGTTGCGCCGGATTTGGCGACCCGCATGGTGCCATAAGATACCCATACAGTCCTCTACGGGAAAATACTTAATTAAAAAGGCCTATTATTATTGAAAAGGCCTAATAGGTCTTTTTAATTAAGTATTTTCCCGTTGTGCTTTGTCCAGAAACCCAACTACTGTATCATCTACACGTGTACTGTACTATTCCCTTGCTGTCGTTAAGAATTAAGTTTAGTTGGAAATCTTTATTAGAGTGTGTTCCCAATACTGTACCGAAACAACACACGTGTGCCTCCCCCCCTTCTACCTCTAGCCTAATCTCCTTGCGTCCTCTTCACGTGCGACGCACTCCACTCCCCCATTGCCGTCTTCCCTTCCTCCACCCTGCAATGTCGGGCTTCCTCCCAAGCCTCAAGTGGCCCACGTCGAGCTTCGAGAGCCGCGGGTCCCCACCGGAAGACGCGCCGCTCTCCTCGCTCCCGCCGGCCGAGCGCGTCGCCCTCGACACCCTCATCACGCTCGCCACGCCTCTCCTCACGTCGCCCCCGCACGCGCTGCCGCGCAGTGACCCGTGGACCAAGCTCTCCGTGGACGACTGTCTCCGCGACCGCGTGCTGCTGCGCCTGCTGCGCTTCAATTCGCTCTCGCCGCCGCGCACGCTGCGTCAGCTGCGCGCCATCCTGGAGTGGCGCGCCACCGCGCGCATCGCAGAGGAGCCGCACGATGCCATGCGCGGCATGGCCGCCGGTATCCCCATCACGCTGCTGCCGCCCGTCGGGAAGGGCGGCGCGCGCCTCTTCTTCGCGCCCGCTGAGAAGTACGAGAAGAAGGATGTGCAACGTGCAGCGCAGGAAGTCGGCGTCGCCAGGATGTTCGAGTATATGCTGTACGACGTCGACGGCCCGCAGGCGGAACGGTGCGCTGTCGTGGTCGACTTCACGGGATTTAGTGCGAAGAACATGGATTTGGCCGGCATTAAGACCGGCGTGTATACGTATATCAACTATTACCCAGACGTGTTTCATGCCATCTTACTGATCAATTATCCCAAGTTTATGTACGGAGGTAAGTCGGGGCGCGTACGCGCGGCAAGCGAGTGGGACGAGGATGTGTGTGCACCAAGAATTGGTGTGACTCTAACCTGCGTGCGTTATGATTTTGTGTGCGCGCGGTAACCGCAATGGTCTCGACACGCTGGGCAGTGTGGCGAATAATCCGGCCTTTGCTGGACGAGCGCACAGCCAACCGAGTACACTTCTTGTCGGATGGGGCGTCTCTGCGTGCGGAGTTGGAAGGGGCGTTCACGAAAGGGCAAATCCCCCCATGGCTGCACGGCACGGCCGGCAGCGAGGACGCGACACTGGAGTTGCTCAACGGCGTGCGCATCGACACAGCGGCGCTGGCGGGGCGCTTTTTATAAAAAGTTTTTGGACATCTTTTTGACATCCGCAACCCCCCCGTCAGAGGCCGATGGCGAGACAACAAAGCAGCAGGCGTGGCGACAAGGCAGGCGAGACGCGACTCGGGCGCGGGGAAGGAAGCCAACGCTTGGTACTTGTACGGTATATACGCCTTGCGACAATCCGCCTGACCTCTTGTGTGTCGCGGCCGAATGATGCCCTGCACGTGACCTTCGTCACGCCCTGCCATGTCCAACCTGCTCACCCTCGGCGACGCGACGCTGCGCACGGACGACCTCGCGCTCCTCGTCCCGCCGGCCTGGCTGAACGACGCCCTCATCTCCTTCTGGCTCGAGCATCTCACGGCCCACGTCCTCCCGCCGGACGCGCGCGCCGTCCTGCTCCCGCCGAACCTCGCCTTCTTCCTCGCCCTCTGCAACGGTCCGTACGCCCTCCCCCGCGCTGCGCTAGGTATCCTCGGCAACCCCTTACGCCCGCCTGCACCGACGTGCAACGTAACGACCAAAAATGCGCCGACCACCGCGATTAGCCCGCCCAAAAACATGACCATGGACA